CAAATATTTATCTACAATGAATGGACTGACTATTACAATTGGTATATGACTCCTTCCAAAACATCTATCTGTCCTTTAAATTGCCTAAATATTGTCAAAAAGTTAGTAATACTAAAAAAAAAAATCTTACTCTCAGTTTCTTTTGTTATCTAGCTGAAAAATATGAAGATTCTTTTCAACAAAACACATTTCTTACTCATGGCACTCTCCCAATCAACAAAATAGGAAACAGATTTTTTAAATGTTAAAAGGCATTGTAAATTCAGTCCCTCTTCCTTTGAACTAGCATGCTTTATTTTAATAAAATATTAAAAGAATGTAAACAACTAGAATATTTAACAAATTAGTAGCTAATTCCTCCTCAGTCAGCTAAGCAGACCTGGATAAAAAGGCAAAGAAATTATTACTGAAGAATTTTGCAATGTAATAAATTACCTTCCCAAACAATCTAGTTCAAGATATGTGTGTGTGTGTGTGTGTGTGTGTGTGTGTGTGTGTGTGTGTGTGTGTATGTGTGTATTAGGGGCAGCTAGGTGACACAGTGAATAGAACACTGAGCCTAAAGTCAAGAAGACTGAGTTCTAATTTGACCTCAGACACTTTACTAGCTGTGTGACCTTGGGCAAGTCACTTAACCCTGTTTACCTTAGTTTCATCATCTGTAAAATGGGCCAGAGAAGGAAATGTCAAATGACTGCTCTAGTATCTTTGCCAAGAAAACCCCAAAAAGAGACAAGAAGAGTCAGACTCAACTGAAAATGAGTGAACAAGCATTAAATATAATATGTATGTATGTATGTATGTATGTATGTATGTGTGTATGGCAATCTTTTTCTTTCCAATGTAGAAATTCCTAAATATCTTTTATTTTGGCATAATTAGAGGTAAGAAGATATCTATTTCAGTCAAATCATAGCACATTCATGATGTACAGTGGGATACACCAAGGAGGGAAGAAATATGGGTGAATACTTATATCTGTCATGGGCCTAGATAGCATAGATTCCTTAGAAAATATACTTATTCAATTGAATTGAATTAACATTCCTAAAGTGAGTGATATATATGAAAAATTCACATCTAGCACATGCAATGGCCTTTTTAATTTTTTTAATGGTTTATTCAGAACTATTTCAAGGCAGTTAGCAGGATAAAAAGGTGGGTTCTGCTATAATCTGCCAGCTGAGCCAAAAGAACAATGGTAGCATGATCCTTCAGTTAGCCTCTGATTGACAAGGAGAAGGGTGAAGGACATGAAAGACCCCTCCAGGCTCAGTTCACTGGCAACAGCACAACAGGAAGTTAGGACCTGGTCCTTCTCTGAGAGCCTTTGAAAACAGGATTGAGTCTCATCTGTCTGGAATGTAAGAAAGAAGTGTACTTTTGACATAAAGCAGGGAGGTTGAATCTCATCTTTCTCAAAGACTTTTCTTAGTCTTGTGGTTCAATGGAAGTCAAGGAATAGATGTTTCCATTTGCCATGTCCTTCCCCTACCCCCCCATTCTCCTCCTTACTCCCAACCCTATGTCATTGCATGTGCTATTCTCTTCACACTGAAAAACACTGACTGCCTCGCTATCTATCCCAGTTTCCCCTTACCTTTTCCAGAACACCTTACAAAACTTACCATTCTTTGAAACTCTTTCCCCATTAACCCAATCTGCCTTTGTTCACATCTTTACTTATCTGAAGGGGACTGAAAGGTGATGTATTTCCTTCCCAGAGCAACTTCTATTCCTCCCTTGTAACCTAATGCTATAAGTGTTAGAGTATAAGGGATAAGAACCAAACTTAGGGACTCCTTCCAGACTGACTATCTTATTGTTTCTGTATCTTACTGAGATACAGAAATAAGTCTATCTCTCTCCGTCTATATGTATCTATATCTATATGTACATATGTGTGTACTGATATACACACACAGATGGCACATGGTGACCCTGGAATCAGAAAGATATAAGTTCAAAATGAGCTTCAGATAATTAATAACTGTGTGACCCTGGGCATGTCACTTAACCTCTGTTTACCTCACTTTCCTCAACAGATTTAAAATAGGGTTTAAAATAACACATACCTCATAGGGTTGTTTTGAGGATCAAAAGAGATAATATTTATAAAGTGCTTAGTGCTTATAAAGTTCAGTGCCTGCCACAGAATAAATGTATATAAATGCTTAATCCCTTCCTTCCCTGCCGCTCTTATTCATGGGCACTGTGCTTTGTTAATATGTGCACAACTCTTCAACTAAATCTTGTAAATCTCCACATGGTAGAAACTGTATCTTCAATATTCTTATTCTTTACTATGGTCCCCTACTTAAATGACCAAGTAATTTTCCAGAAGCATCTGTCTACATGCAGCATGGTCTACACATAGTTGAAGTCTACACAAATTGAATTTTCATCAGGTGGGACTTCCCATGGCACTACACCTCTATATAGATGTAATTTCCCTCCCTAGGTTATGAGGCATAACTATAGGTAACCAAGCAGTTCTTGGACCTTTCCATTCACAGAGGTCAAAGACTCCTAGCTATTAAAGTCCAGGTGAATTTGAATAAAATCTCTCATCTCCAAAGTCACAACAGCAAGGTTAGGAGTGAGGGAAAAGCAGGATACTTAAGGATCACATATAGTGGGTGATCGGGCAATGGGACAGTAAAAAATTGAGATGGGGGATGAGTCAAGAATTTCTACAGATGACAACAACAAGGGTACCCAATTAAACCAGTCCATCTCAATTGAAACTTATCTGTCACAAATCTTGCTTTCAAGTTTATTAACTGTCAGCCCCTTATTATGTGAGTATATATTTTGTTACTCTCTAGGGGATTCACAGCTTGCGAGATAGTGAAAACTTTGTTGACTCAACTCCCTCTATTTACTTTCTACACAGATAAAATCTTCTAAAATCCTTTTGCTCAGGCAAGGCTTGTGCTTCAGGGAAGTCTTGAAAGAACACAAAACTTTGCTGAGAAAGAGAGCAGTCCACTTCCTTAGGGTTTGCAGAATGGGGAAATTGAACCAAGATTTCATTGTATGACTTCATTATTTGTTTTAATTGAATTTGTTTATTTTGATGGAAGTAATTACCCTTATTCCATTCTAAGACACATTCAAAAATCAGAGTGATTTTTTTTTTTATTTTCTCTGTCTCTGCTTTCATCTAAAAGTGTGCAAATAATAAGGAATTTATTTATATGAGTCCAACCCTGACCTCTGGGACTAACTCTAATCAAGTCAAAGATTAGAAGTGAGGTCCTTTACAGCCATTCAATGCAACAAATTAAAAACTGTGTAATTTTGACTGCAATTTTGAGTTACATGTGTCTCTTAGGAATCCTCAGAACGGTGAAATTGGAGTCAGAGGAACTAGGTTCCAATGCCCAGTCCTATTGAGGTTATTGTGACGTTGGGCAAATGTCTTAACCTCTCTGCACCTTATTTCTCAAGCTATGAGATGGAGTTGGAGAAGATGATCTCTAAAGCCCTGTGAGCTTTAAATACATGAGCTTATGAGTCTATTATTAATTTGCTTACTTTGATCCTCTCCAATCTAATTCATCTCCCCTGCCCCCCACCATGGACAGCAGAATAGTAATAGATGGCATTTCTAGATGCAAATTTATGGAAACATTATTTTACCAGACCTAAGATTTCATTAGTATAGTGAATTTCCAGTAAGGAAATTCCCAAATAGTGCAGATATGTACTTGTTCTTCAACTTTTCATCTTAGAGAGTTGCTTGTGGTACTGAGAAGTGACATAAGTTGGCCAGGGTCATACAGATACCAGTAGGATTTGAATTCAGGTCTTGCTGATTCTAAGGCCAACTCTCTAACCAACTACCTTTCATATGGAGGCATATCTTGCTTCAATGGCTTTTCTTCTGCACACTACTTCTTTTCACAGTGTTTACTTCCATTCCCCTTTATGCTGCATGATATTGTTGCTATATTATTATCTCTCAGGTATGATAAAATATTCCTGACGTTTATCTCTAAAAACTTTGTATCAAAGGAACAAACAACCATTTTGAGTTTTAGGACACAGGCTAATTGAATATGGTCATTTTATAGATGTCAGGTTGGAAGGGACCTTAGAAATCTTCTTATTCAACCATTTCATTTTCTAGATGAGAAAACTGAAGAGGCTTGCCTCTTCAAAAGTGCATAACTTATACATGTGGCAGAATGGAAAATTAAACCCAAGTCATCCAAGCTCCAATACTAGGGTTCTTCTCATTGCAACACATTACCTCTGGTTGTATCCAGTAACCTATCCCCAGTGCAAACAGATGTTTTAAATGCTTTGGAAATAATAAACTGATGAAAGACTGGTATAAGTATTATACAGATTCCTCATCTGTAATATGGGGATAATGGAAATACCTATCTCCAGTAGGAGATGTTGTGAGGATCAAATAAGATAATATATGTAAAGCACTTTGTGAATCTTAAAGTGCTATATAAATGTTGCTATTATTATTCCACAAAGCCAGCTAGGCAGAGTTTTCAGGAATAGAAGACCAAGAAAATGGAAAATTGGAATTGTTCCTCATTTCTAAGAGGGTATTTTTTTTAACTCCTACTGCAAAGTATTAGTTTTTCCATTAGCAGAGTACCCAATTATCCTCTGAAGTAGTCAGCCTTAGAGAGTTATCCAATTTTAAATTATATAGTTTAATCCAGAGTACCATTTAATACAGAGTACCATTGTTAATTCATATTGTATAGAACTGCTTATAAAGTGCTCCAAGAGCTTTCTAGATACAATCTTTTTGAAAAAAAAGTTTGTTGATAGCTTTTGTTTTTACAATATCTACATTCTCCAATATGTTTCTTCTCCTTCCCATTTCAAGAGAGCCATCCATTAGAACAAGGAAAACAAAGAAAGAAAGAAACAAACAAACAAAGAAGGAAGGAAGGAAGGTAAAGGAGGGAAAAAAGAGAGAGTGAGAAAGAGAGACCAATGCAGGGAGGAAATTCAACAAAACTAACCAAAATATTAACCACGTCAAATGTGATATGCAGTGTTCCACATCCATAATCCTCCACCCTGAAAAGAAAAAAGAGAGTTGATTATTATATCTATTCTTTGGCCCCAAGCTTGATCATTATAATTTCATGAAATTTAATTTCTATTATTTTATGGTTATTGCTCCTTTTACTTTTATTGTTATTATAGTTATTCTGTATATTTATCTCCTTGTTGTACTTATTTCATTTTAACTTAGATCATCTAAAATTTCCCTCATTTTTCTTTATTCCGCTTATTTACTTTTTTTCATACACACAGAAATATCCTATTACATTGACGGATACACTAGTGGGTGGGCATTATACCCCAACTGATGGGAATCTACTTTTCCTCCCATCTCTTTAATATTACAAAAACTTTTACTATAAATATTTTGGTTTAGACAGGATATTTCTTTAATCAAAATGCAATTTTTAAAATGTACTCAATCCTTTTCATTTTATTAATGAATACACTGAGACTTGGAGATATTACATGATTTATACAAAGTCATGTAGCATGCCAGTAGGAAAGCTAGGGGCAGAATCCAAGTCTTTGGAAGATTTATTTTTTATTTCACCAAATAAAGTATACTGTGGTGTTTGCTGGACAGCTTGAGGGGCCTTGGAGTCTAGCTTTTCTGTTTTTAGTCCAGATGATTTTATAACTGAGGAAACATTTGATGACAATGGAACTCCCTTCTCTAAGGCAAATTCAGCCACTCATCTATAACTTGTAGTCTTGGAGAGCTTTCTAGGATGCTGGGAGTTTAAGGGACACAGTAGGTGACAAAGGAGAAATGCAACCTGAGTCTCTGACTCCAAGAATGCACCAAGAACTATGAAAGTCTGACTAAGAAGAAATTAAGAAACCCTGAAGTCAAAGCATGTGGATGGTTAGAATTCCCATTAAGTTTCTTATTGTTGTAAGAAAAAAAACCTTAACAACAATATAATAATTATAGAACATTTCACACAAGTGGCGGGTTATGTGAAAACACTTTGAAAAGAAACTGTATGAATAAATGTGAGGTGTTTGAATCTGAGTCACATCTTTGATATTGGGGGAGGGGGCAAACCTCATTGCAAGTTTCAGAATGTAATGCTGTCATTTATCATTAGTGCTAGGAAATAGGTTTATGAACCTAACACTAGATGTATATGTTATCTAAACCTCAACTCGGTCTTCTCATTTTCTGTGTAAGTTCTTGTCCTTTCCACTCCACCAAAGTGTTTTTGTATCACTACTTAGATTTTTTTTCATTCAAAATTTCAATTTTCATACTTGAGAAAGAGTCAGCCATTACTTTATGAATACATAACAAAAGCTGACTCTGGGTATCCCAAACCATGATTAAGATTTATTCATCTCTATCCATTAACAAATTTAAAAACTTTTTATGCAAAGCACCATTACTGGAGAGCTCAGTTAAATTAAATTGTTTATCACATATATAGCTAATGCATGCAAAGCACTATAGTAGATGCTGGGGCTATAAAGATCAATATAATACAGACCTTATTCTCAAAGAGTTTATGATCTAAATAGAGGAAGGTTACTGTCCCTCCTTTGTCAAAGAATTCAGTGCCTGCCTCTTAGTTTCTTCACTCTAACTCCTACAATTATACTAGAAGACTTCAATACACATGTTGATGTTGCCTCAAACACTCTAAACCAGTTCCTCAATATACTCAGGTCTCATGACATATTCCTCTACCTCATCTTTACACAAGGATAGTCATAGCATTGGTCTTGCTATAATCCACAATTGTTTGCTTCCATGATTAAGAATTCTGAAATTACTTTCTGATCATAATATTCTTCCATTCTCCATCTCCCCATGCTTTCTCCTCTTAAACTTGCTCTTCTCATCACGAGGTCCAATTCCTTTCCCCCTTTATTACTTTTCCGTATCACCATACTTACTCTGGCTATATTCTGTTTCCTTCCCAATCTCAACCCTTTGGTGAACCACTTCAATTCTGCTCTAATCTCTGCTCTTGAATCCTTGGCCACTTTGCACTATCTCCATTGACATCTTGCTAGACTGTAACCCTGGATTGCTCCTACCATCTACCTTTTTTAATCCTATTCATGTTCTGCTAAACAGAGCTTGAGGAAACCACACAGCCATACCAACTGGTTTCTACAAATTTGTGTTGTCTAATCACAACTAATGTCCCCTGAAGCAAGATTATATTTCTATACCTTCCATATTACTTCTCTATATCACTCACAATAGCAGCTGTACCCTGCCTTTCACACTCCCCTCAATCGTCACTGCTTAATGTGGAAACAGTCGTCAAATCAATATTCCCATTTCTATGTCAATCAATTTCCCTACGAGTCTACTCACAATCCCTTTTACTCCTCAAACAATAAGCAGTCCCTAGCCAGGACTCCCCTATACATTTATTGGCTTCTGTATTTAAAATGTAAGCTTGAGACAGAGCCAAGATGGCAAAGAAAAGGCAGTGACTCACCTGAGCTCTCCCCAGTCCCCTCTAAATAACTTTAAATAATGTCATAAAAAAATTCCCGGAACAGGACAACCCACAAAAGGATGGGGTGAAATAATTTTCCAGCCAAAGACAATTTAGAAGGTTAGCAAGAAAGGTATGTTGCATCTGAGTGAGAGTGGAGCAGAGTCCAGCACAGGCCCAGCCTCAGCAAACCAGGAGCAGTCCTTGAGAGCTACTAAATCAGCAGCAGCAGCAGCTGCTTCCAGAGCTCTCAGCCCACAGAAGGTAAGAGGGTGAAAAAACTAATCAGAAGATTACAGGGGTCTCTGTGCTAGCACTGAGGCAGGACTGTTTTGCTTTGCCTGTATTCAGATCCAGATCACAGTCCAGGGTGTCAGTCACAGGTGAGGAGGCACAGGAGAGCTTGTAGCTGCAGTGGAGCGGGAACCCTCGTCATGTTTTCAGGGCAGAAAAGAGTGCTTGTGATTGCTCACCAACCAGAGCACAGGCCAAGAGAGTAGTAAACACACCTCTTCTAAGACCATACCACTTTGGAAAAACTGAAAACTTACAGGTCCCTAGAAGTATCTCTGAAAACAGCTGCACAGAACCCCTGAAGCTTGAGACAGTGCACCCCCCACCCTGGAAACAGAGCTTTTCTTGGTCAAAGAGTTAAAAGTCAAGAAAAAGGCTGGGAAAATGAGCAAACAACAGAAAAACATTCTGACCACAGAAAGTCACCATGGTGACATGGAAGATCAAAACATACACTCAGAAGAAGATAACAAAGTCAAAATTCCTGCATCCAAAGTCTCTGAGGAAAAATATGAATTGGTCTCAGGCCATGAAAGAGCTCAAAAAGGAATTTTAAAATCAAGTAAGAGAGGCAGGGAAAAATTTAGGGAGAGAAATGAGTGATGCAAGAAAATCATGAAAAATTAGTCAACAATTTGGTCAAGAAGACAAAAAAAATGCTGAAGAAAATAACTTTAAAAACAGACTAGGCCAAATGGTAAAAAAAAAAAAAAAAAGATACAAACATTCAATGAGGAGAAGAATGCCTTAAAAAGTAGAACTGGCCAAATGGAAAAAGAGGAACCAAAATTCACTGAAGAAAAAAAACTTCCTATTTTTCTTGAGGTTTTTTTTTTTTTTGGTCTACATTTTCTTTCACAACATGACTAATATGGTTTTGCACCACTACACATGTATATCCTATATCGAATTGCTTGCCTTCTCAATGAAGAGGGATGGGGAGGGAGAAAGGAACAGAATTTTAAACATAAAGTTTTAAAAGCAAATGTTAAAATTTGTTTTTACATTTAACTGGGGGAAAATAAAATATTAAATAAAAAAATAAAGTGTAAGCTTTAAGGGCAGGAACTTCTTGTATTTATATCCCCATTGTTTAGCACAGTGCCAGGCACAAGGGGAACTCTTAATAAATGATCTTCTCATTCATTCATTCATTCATTCCAAATATTTTCCCTCAAGTCTCTCATAGAATCTTTTCCCCATGACCTTTAAATTGAGGGCCTTTCTTCATATTTTACTTCCTTAAAAATTGAGGCTATTTTCTGTGAGCTCTATTTTTTCTCCTCTTCATCTCACAAACCCTTGACATCATCTCCCACTATGCCCCTTTATTCCAGTCTCTGATGAAAAGAGCTGATCGTTCTCACCATGGCCAATCACTCTACAATAATCCTTAATCCCATCCCCTCCTGTTTTCTCCAGCAGATTGCTCCCCTTGTCATCTCCATTTTTTCTTCTCTTTACTCTTTCTCTGTCTATCTATCGGCTTCTTCCCTGATGCCTAAAAACATACCCATGTCTCTTTCATCTTCAAAAAACACTTATAGAACCCTATCATCTTTAGTAGGTATCATTCCATATATCTTCACCCTTTTTCACCTATACTCCTTGAAAAGGGAGCTGCTTCCTTTTTCTCTTCTAGACCTTTATTCTGGCTTCTGGCCTTATTACAGAACTCTAGGTACTCTCTCCAATATTACCAATGATCTCTTAATTACTGGATCTATTGGCCTTTTCTTACTTTTCATCCTTCTTTACTTCTCTGCAGGATTTGACACTGCTAATCAATCTCTTCTCTCTTCTTAACACTGCTCTCTCTTGGTTTTCCTGTTACCTCTTTGCAGTTTACCTTCTACTTCTATTCTTTCTCAGTCTCCTACAAGTGAATGATCCCCAAGTCCCTGAATCGGGGCTTCATTACACTATATTCTCTCACTTGGTAATGTTATAAGCCCACATGGGTTCTATTATTATCTCAATGAATATGATTCCTAAATCTTCATATTCAGTCCTACTCTCTTACCTGAGTACTACTCCTGCATAACAAACTGCCCATTACACATTTCAAGCTGGATATCCCATAGGTATGTCAAACTGAATATGCCTAAAGCAAAACTCATCTTCCCCCCTAAACCCTCCCCTCTCACAGATCTCCCTATTTCTAAAGCACCATCATCCTTCTAGTAATCCATGTTCAGTTTCATCCTAAGCTCTTCATTCTCACTCACTCTGTGTATTCACTTAGTTGCCCAATCCTATTAC